GGCTACCTTTGTGGGTGTTAGGTGGTACCTCATTGTTGTTTTAATTTGCATTTCTCTTATAGCTAAAGATAGGGAACATTTTCTCATATGTTTGTTGGCCATTCGGATTTCTTTCTCTGTGCTTTGTTACTATTTTAAATAGTTCCTTTATTGTGTCTTACTGCATTATCTAAGAGTAATCCTTAAATTAATTTTTGTTTGCATCTTATATCTTTCATTTTATTATCAATTTTTGAGGGCAGTAGCAATATAAATCTTAAGCTTTGTAACTCTATAGCTTCTTCATCCTGTGCTCTATTACTAGTGTGTGTTCAGCTAATGCATATTAACATTTTTTACTAAGACTAAACAGTCACTGTTGTATTTGACAAGCTGTATTTTCTCTGTCTCGGTATAGCACCAAAGTGTAAGTAAAACATTAAAAAAAGACTTGAAAGGAAAACCGAAGATGAAAGTGCAATTTCATATAACATTTTAATATTACTGACAAATAAAGCCAGGGTATAGACTACAAGTCAGGATGTTGACTTACACTCTAAAGGCACCACTGGTGGATGAAAGAGGTAAGAGAAGGACAAGATTATGTATTAAGAGATACGGTATGTCTGGAACAGGGCTTCCAACTGATTCATTCCAGTTCAATCTCTTGCTCAGAATTTGTATTTCTAACCCATATATACTAAATCCGAATCTACAGTTTAACAAGATCCCCAGGTGATTCTATTATCTTTTAATTCCATTTTTCCATGAGCCTTTTAGTTCTGGATTAAATGTAGGTTCTGATTCAGTATATCTGGGGTAGAAATACAAATTCTCAGCTGAGGGTCAACACTGGGATGAACTGATTCAAAACCCTGGGATGGAAGTAGTTAATTGGTTAGCTACAGATTAGAAATGGGTGTCTTGCCAAGAGTTACTGTTTCATTTGAACAGGGAGAAGTATTCTAGATTTTATACCTGTCTTCACTTTGTCTGCTTTAGGTAAGTCGTCAGGTTGCTGAAAAATAATTTGAGTGACTGGATTGCTGAGCATCATCTGTCCAAATGGAAATATTGGTAGCTCCTATTCATTCCTTCCCAGTAGATGGCAGCAAGATGCTTTATTAAAATTTCCTTGTCTTCACTTTTTTTAAGCCATGTAGTAAAATACTCTGTGTGTGTATATGTGGGTTTTTTCTCATTAAAACCAAGACGGATAGGACACCTTCATTTTCTTTAAATGAATGAAAGTATTATTACCATTCTATACTATTCTTTCATATGAAATGTTTTTGAAAAATTCATCTATCTAAAAATGTTACCTTTTATTGATTTTTTCCTTTTATTGATTTTTGTTAGCAGCTGCTGCTTAAGTGACAATATCACACAATAAGAATTTATATTTTACATGTAATTTCTTTTTCATAAATTCCTGTAAAGAGAATCCAACAGTTATACTGTAGAACAGACCCACTAGCACTTTGCTGAACAATTTGTTAGGGTTGCAGCCATAATTTTGAAGTCTTTGTATTGAATATTCATAAACCTTTCTTTTATGAACAAACCAAAAGGTCAATTTAGCCGACATAAAAGAAAATGTCTTATTTCTGGGTGGTTAAGTCTGACTAATTTATCTTCTACATCCAATTGCTGGCTTCCAGATAGTGGCAGGGGATAGGGACTGCAGAGAACTGACATAAGCTTAAGGAAAAATCTGAGTCTCATTGGCAGAAATCTGTGCCCTGAAAATTTATGTAGCAGATAAATTATGGTCATTTCTTGCTCCTCCGGAAATCAGTTCAGCTAAGAGAGGTTTTTGGAATTGCCTTAGAAAATAATATTTTTGAAATGTGAAGCTTTCTCCCAATTTTTTTTATAATGTGGTGCTTAATTCTTGTGAATTTCAAAGTTCTTGCAAAACTTGTTATCCAGAATGTACTTTTATCTTATGAAAACATGCTTTATCAATATGATTTAGCATATCTCTTACATGTCTTGGAATTTTTACATACCACAAAAGACCTTTTCTCCCATGATATACTATAAACGGACACCATCTTCCAGACCACAGGACATCTGTAATTGAGAACAGCAGATGTTGCTGCACGTGCTTCTCCTTAAAACTAAGCAACGGCACGAGCGAAAATAGAACCTACGGTTCAAATCAGAAGAGAAACACTAGGTCATACAAAGATGGGGGAATTGAAAGAAGAGGGAGCATGTGGCCTCAGCACTATTTCTTTTGTATGCATCTCTGGAAACACGTTGTAAACTGCTACCTAAGGCTCATTAACTGTCGACTCCAGTCAGACTTATTTTCGGTTAAAAGTAGATTTCACTTGAACAAGGAGTACTTTATGTTCACCACCGGGGGTGCTCATTGCAAGTTGTGTATGCGAAGTGGCTACAGTGTGTTTGTTATACCTTGTTTGCTGTCGAGTTGGCTAATGTTTTCATCTTGGTTTTAACCCTAGCTGACCCCACAGTGAAGGACTTAATCGGAGGCTTCACTGCTCTGCATTACGCAGCCATGCATGGCCGGGCCCGAATTGCACGCTTGATGTTAGAGTCTGAGTGCAGGAGTGACATCATTAATGCCAAAAGCAATGACGGCTGGACCCCCCTCCATGTGGCTGCTCACTACGGAAGGGACTCGTTCGTTCGACTCCTACTGGAGTTCAAAGCCGAGGTCGACCCGCTCAGTGATAAAGGTACAACACCGCTTCAACTAGCCATTATCCGAGAAAGGTCAAGTTGTGTGAAAATCCTCCTGGACCATAATGCCAATATTGACATTCAGAACGGCTTCCTGTTACGTTACGCTGTGATCAAAAGCAACCATTCTTATTGCCGAATGTTCCTTCAGAGAGGAGCAGACACAAACTTGGGTCGCTTAGAAGATGGACAGACGCCTTTACACTTGTCTGCCCTTAGGGATGATGTGCTTTGTGCACGGATGTTATATAATTATGGAGCGGACACGAACACAAGGAACTATGAAGGACAAACCCCATTGGCTGTTTCAATCAGTATTTCTGGAAGTAGTCGACCGTGTTTGGATTTCTTACAAGAAGTAACAAGTATGTAATAGAGTTATTACTATTATTAATTTTTTAAATTTGCATCTTGTGAAAACACTTAATGTGTTTTTCATGACTTAAAATAATTAGATGTTAATCATACATATAAACTTTGCATGGTAAGTAATACGGCACTCGTCTGAATAAATGGAAAGTTGTAATAAATGATAAAAATTTCATTAAGAAATGAAGTGTTACTAAAAGAAGTAGGGGTAGACATAGGAGGAAAGAAGAGTTGGAAAAAAGAACAGAGAGGAGAAATGTTTTAATTAATGCAGATCTGCACTAGAAGGTGGCATTACGTGCTTATCATGAGGATATTCTTTCTAGGTTTGCATGTTCATATTCAGGAAGTAAAGGGAGAAGCTAATGTTCTAGATTCTTTAACTTTGGAAATGTGCCATGGTGAAACTCTTAATCAGTTTATTGCCACTTTCTGCTTCATTACGATATGAACCCACATGAACCACAACAGCAGTGTTTGTAAGTGTTGTAGTATTGGAGGTTAAAACTCCCAGAAATTGTAAGGAATGATTTGCTCTCAGTGGAAATTTGGGTGCTACTGTCTCTGAACCATAGGGCTTCCCTGATTCCTACCCTGTTTTCGTGTATATTCCTTTTTATAAGTGTCTGGTACGCATTGCCAGCAACCTTAGTGGTGATGTGGTTACCTGTTGGGCTGCCAACTGTAAGATAAGCCGTTCGAAAGAAACTACAAGCTGTTCCACAGGAGGAAGACTGGACTTTTCTACTCCTTTAAAGATTATTGTCACGGAAAACCAAAAGGCCATTTCTGCCTTTCCCTGTAGGGTTGCTATGAATCGGCAGTGAGTTTAGTTTTGGATCTTGCCACATGTTGTGTGGTAGTATCTGCATGTGCTTGAGCTGTTTTTCTGATAGGGATGATTTGTTTGTTTTGACGTAGCCACCACCTCATGTCAGACCTCCTGGTGATCAGGCAGGCGTGTTCAGAGTTAATGTCTTGCATTTCTATAAAGAAAACATTTGAATTTGCTGTGTCACACTTTGCGATGACTTCTTTCCCTCACCTGTTTTTTAACTTTTGGTCATGAATATGGAAGAAGGAATGATAGCACTCTAGATGCCAGGTACTTGGGATCCAAGGGGTTTATTGACTTGCTTGTGAATAATCTATCTCTTGGAGCTAAATTTTGGAGTGAGAATTTACTCTTTGAAGAAACACAGAATAATTTGAATTTAGTGCATTCTAGTGATAGAAAGATGATGTTTTTATTATGTAATATATTTATACTAAAGCAGAAAAAGAGAAAGAAATAATGCTTAGATTCTGACTCCCTGCTATCCAGTGGAATCTTCTATGATGCGAGAAATGGTCACTCCACACTTCCTAAAAGGGAAGCCAATAATTCAGTGTGGCTATTGAGCTCTTGCTAAGTATGGGTGGCTCATATGAGGTATGGAATTTCAAATTTTATTTAACTCCACTCAATATAAATTTCATTAACCACAAGTGACTGGTAATTTCCATATTGCAGAGCAGTGCAAATCTTTCTATCTTGGGCTGTCTCACAGGTTGTCCCTTGCAGAAAGCTTTGACCCACATAGACGTAGCCAGAGATGGCAGGATGCTGTGTGTGTGGTGCTACAGTTGCTGGTGTCAGCCGACTAAATGGAGACACCTTTAGGAAATCCTTAGAGTGCAATTGCAAACATAGCACCTTTCCTAACCAAGTTCATTCATAGCACTGGCAGGGAGATGGTTGTTGGGAAACAGATTACTATTGGATACGAGCCTAGGCCAGGGAAGATATTCTACAAGGTGTTTTTACTCTTAGTAAATTCTGGACATCTTGTGCTTTTCATTTTAATGCTACACTGGAGACTCATCGTTAAAATAGTGTGGACACATTCAGGAAGCATATTTACTTACAGAAAAGTCTTAGCCCTCTTTTGTTACATAATTTGCTCATTAGGTAACTGGACTAGAGCTATACTGTCCAAGTTCAAATACTATGCCATTTAATAGCTGTGACCTTGATCTAACCTCTGTGCCTCAATGTCCTCATCTTTAGGAAAATAGGAAAAGCTTTATGTAGGCTTGTTATGAGGATTAGAATTTCACATTTTAAGTGCAATGTAAATGCTCCTTAAAATAAAACATTTTACTAAGAGTTCACAATCTCCCAGGAGAGTGAATCTTTCAAACTCTCATTCCACTCAGAACTCTTATTTTCCATCCTATACACCAGTGTTTCCCACAGGGGACAATATTATGTCCTGGGGTGCTGGAACAATGGAGGGTGATTACAAAAGCAATACCTATACTTTATCCTGGACTATGGGTTATAATAGAAAAAATATTACGGGCGCTACAGGCACTAAATAGTGGTCCGTTCCCCCCTCCCCACCCCTTTTCTTCTGAAAAGCAGGTGGTTGGCTAAATAAGATTGGAAACCTATTCTGTAAATTATTCTCCAGAGTCTGCAGTATGGAGATACATGGTCTCCTATATGTAAAAAGTGAAAAGCACATAGGCAGCACCCCTTTTATCCCTGAGCCCTCAGAGCTGCAGTGTTCTCTCAAAGCAGTGTTGCTAGAGAGCTGTAATGTTGAGTAAAAGGTCAGATGTTCCAAGAAGACACTTGACAAGGTAACTTCTGTGCTTGTGCCCTCTTCATTGCACACAGCAGTGAGTCTGAGGAGGCCTTTGATTATGGTGCTCAGTTGGTTGACTGCACATGCAAATGGTGGTGAAGCAGTAACAAATTTCAGAAATGAGGGACCATCTGCCTTTTTAAGGCCATAATTCTTTTTTTTTGGGGGGGGAGGGGGGATCTCTAATGTTGTTTTGTGCCAAAAGCAAATTCAGAGTTTCTGCTTCACCCTAGCATTATTTGCCTAGTGAAAAATGATTATGTGCTAGAAGGACCAGCTGTAGCTGCTCTCCACTGAACTGTCTCTAAAAAACAAACTAAAGAAAGATCGACCAGGAAGCCTGAGTCCAGTCTGCAAGTTCCTTCCATCCTCCAACATATCTAACAGCACCACTCCTTTATAAATCAGTTTGTAATCCCAGAACTCGGGCTCCTGAAGAGTAAGAAGCTGAAACCCTTGGGGTCTTGGTTCAGGACTGCTTTCCTGTTCACTGCACCATTTGGATTAGAAGCAGATTGTTTAAATAGGAAGAGATTTTTAAAAATCCTAATCCTGGATTTTAAAAACTGTTAAACTTCTTTGAAGGGTCCTTGCGGTGTAGAGTGTTATGCATTGCATTGCGTTGGCAAACTACAAGATTAGCAGTTTGAAACCACCAGCTGCTTTGTGGGAGAAAGATGAAGCATTCTATTCCCTAAAGATTTACAGACTTGGAAACCCACAGGGGCAATTCTAGTCTGTGTAATAAGTCACTATCTATCAGAATTGACTTGAAGGTAGTGAGTTTGATTTGGAAGGTTCTTTGGAAAACACATCATAAAAGCTTTGAAGGTGGGTGTCTTGGTGGAAGCAGCTTGTGATACACATCACATTGATACAGAACAGATCACATGTCTTAGTAATATGGTGTCTTGTTAATAACACTTGGCAAGAGAAGCTTCTAAGAGCTACCCTGTTTCCCCCAAAATAAGACAGTGTCTTATATTAATTTTTGCTCTCAAAGATGCGCTAGGTCTTATTTTCAGGGGATGTTGTATTTTTCCATGAACCAGAATACGGTACACATTTATTGTTTATTGTTTTATTAAAAGAGACTTTGCACCTCCTGTCTGCTCCAGCTGCGCTATGGCCAACAGTGAGCTGTGCGGCGGTGCCCGCTACTACGGTCCAGAGTCCGGAGTTACGGTAGCTTTGGGGGAAACTTATTTTCAGGGGGATGCCTTATATTTCAGCGGGAGGCAAAACTGTAAATAGGTCTTATTTTCAGGGGGTGTCTTACTTATGGGGAAACACGGTACTATTACCATTTCTCTCTAGGCAGACTGCAGCTTCCAACATTAAAGCCATCAAAACCCTCTGCCTTCTAGATTAGCCTGGACGCCGCATAGTGTCCTGCAGAAAGCCAGGGAGTGAAAGAACAGTTTCTGTTTGTCCAGAAACAAGAAGCAGAGATAAGAAGAGGAACGAAGATCACCTTGCAGAAAGAAAAGATATTTTCTGATTGGTTAGCAGTGTAGACGAGGCCAGTTTTTTTGTTTTGTTTTGGTGTGATTTTTTAAAATATTAAACACTTTTTGGGGGGGCTCTTACATCTCTTATCACAATCCATACATTCATCCATTGTATCAAGCATATTTGTACATATGTTGCCATCATCGTTTTTAAAAGCATTTTCTTTCTACTTGGTATCAGCTCCCCATTTTTCCTCTCCCTCTCCCATCCTCCCTCCCTCATGAACCCTTTATAAATTATAGATTATTATTTTCTTATCTTTACATCGTCCTCTGTCTCCCTTCCCCCACTTTTCGGTTATTCATCCCCCTGGGAGGGGGTTATATATAGATCCCTGTGATCAATTCCCCTTTTCTCCCCCCACTTTTTCCTTATCCTGGTATCTCTTTTCTCATTATTGGTCCTGAGGGGTTTATCTGCCCTGAATTCCCTGTGTTCCGAGCTCCTATCTGTAGCAGTGGGCATGCTCTGGTCTAGTCCGATGTGTGAGGTAGAATTGGGGTCATGACAGTGGCAGGAAGAAAACATGAAAGAAGTAGAGGAAAGTTGTATGTTTTCATCGTTGCTACACTGCACCCTGACTGGCTCGTCTCTTCCTTGTGACCCTTCTATAAGGGAATGTCCAATTATCTACGGATGGGCTTTGGGTCTCCACTCTGCACCCCCCTCATTCACATTGATAATGATTTTTTGTTCTGGGTCTTTGATGCCTGATACCTGATCCCATCGACATCTCATGATCACACAGGCTGGTGTGCTTCTTCCATGTGGGCTTTGTTCTCAGCTAGATGACCGCTTGTTTATCTTTAAGTCTTTAAGACATCATACGCTATATCTTTTGATAGCTTTCT